GTTGATCCAACAGCTGATAGACACTACTTGAGGTGAGCAAAGAAGGCCAAGGCTAAACCATCGAGTAACACTGGATGTGCAGTCAAAGAAAAGGTGATGTGCTGTTTCCTCTCCTCCTTCCTGACAAAGAACGTAGTTGTATCCCTCATCCAGGCTAAACCATCGAGTAACACTGGATGTGCAGTCAAAGAAAAGGTGATGTGTTGTTTCCTCTCCTCCTTCCTGACAAAGAACATAGTTGTATCCCTCCTCAGCATATTCCTGGTATTTAGATGATCATTGAGTAGCAGCCAAGCAAAGACATTGGTAAGAAGAGGTCTAACGGGTTTGTTGTTTGGATACCCCTGGACAGAAATGGAAGAGTTCCTAACAAATTGTTACAGAGTGGGGAACTTAGCTTGAGGATGTTGATCCAGGAAGCAGTACTCCCAGATACTAACTAAAGCTCCTGAATCCACAACACAAGTAGCAGTACCTCTATATGGTATAATCAGATTGAAAGCATCCTTTCCACCGTATAGAACCTTTAGATGGCATTAAATGGGGCACCTTTGAAGAATAGTAGGTACTCAAGGTACATCCACCTTGGGGCGCGTTTAGTTGGCCGGAATTTGGATGTGCAAAGTTTGCATAGTGCTAGGTTCCATACTGTAGCATTTCGTTTGTATTTGGTAATAATTGTCCAACCGTTGACTAATTAGGCTCAAAATGTTCGTCTCACAAAGTACAACCAAACTGTGCAATTAGTTTTTAATTTCGTCTACTTTTAGTATTCCATGCATGTACCGCAAGTTTGATGTGATGGGATATCTTCTTTTTGCATAGTGCCAAAGTTAGGAGTTTTGGGAGAAACTAAACAAGGGCTTATTATAAAAATTATAAGATTCTTAGTGAGCAAAGCATCATTCTACAGATAAATGTTCTTGATTCCCAGACCACCCTTGGCATTTGGCATGGTTACATTTGCCCAAGCAGAATGATTACTAAGTCTAGGAAATTAAATAGCACTAATGCAGAAATTGGAGTCCCAAATGAATTCTTATAGACATATAACAAGTTTAATTTCATAATTTGTGTGCTTCTCAGTAGCAATGTGCTTCTAACTAGCAATTAACGATACTATTGACCCAATATGCGTTGTTATTTATGTGGGTCCCATATATATTACTCACTTCATCAGAAAAGAATACAATTCTAGCACAATATCATTTTAAATATCTCAAGTTTCACCAATTATTTCCTTAAAAAAGTTTGACCAATTATATATATATATATATATATATATATATGATAGAGAGTATAAAATAATTATAATATTTAATAAGTATCATTAGATTTATCATGAATGTAGGAGTATTTTCTGTTTGATCAAACTTTGATCATTTTTAACGAGGATATATATAAAGTTGCATTATTTTCGGGCCATTTGGGCATGAAGTCGTGAACTCCGGTGGCAAGAAGAGCAAACGAAGCAGAAGGCAAAAACGTATGGATTACGCCCTACTCCTGTGGCAACGAGGCGATCACGGTCACGGTCACGGTTAAGGCGGCTCGCGTCCACACGCGCCCGAAGTGAGCCCACGGCCACATGAGGCACCCTACGTCACGTAGCACAGCATAGGCATACTCCGTACTAGATACTAGAGTAGCATGGCAGCTATCGGCAACGGACTGTGTCATGGCTTATCACCAAACGAACAGGGCAAGAGTTTACTCCTATGTTACATTAAGCGAGGACACGCAAACACAACTTGCTTAATGAATGAAGCACGACTCCCTCCTTCATTAATATTTGTATCTCTAAATGCGTTTAACTATGAGAATGCATGACATGATGATTGATCTAATATGCCTATTTGGCATTATAAATATTTGTATTTTTGTTCTATATTTTTGTCAAACGTAAAAATATTTAACTCCTCGAAGTGCGGGATAAACACTTATTTTGGAACGGAAGAAGGACCGTACTAAATTTATATTATGTTGCGGACTGAGAGAATAAGAGGATTCGGACCCGTTTTTCGTACAAAGTCTGGCTAGTTCAACGGATTTCATGTATGTGTTACATCCTCCATCCCATAAAAAAAAGGCTGATAAGGAGCCGCTTGGCCGATAGGGTCCTGTAGGCCCACCGTAAGCCGACAGGCCGGCAGGGGCGGTCAACACGGCTCGCGTCGCGTACACATGAGCCACCCACCACGTATTGTGCACAGCATAGCACGGGATCAGAAGACAAGACAGCTGCAGCTTGCCTCCTGTCCCACTCCACGGTCTGACGCAACGAGGGTGGTTTGTATGGTACGGTGCTGTCGGCTTACCGTGAGCCGACAGGTACCGTAAACCGACTGGACAGCGACGGCAACCGGCTTCTGACCGAAGAGGAGGGTCTTAGTCCTGGAGGGTGATGTCACTGTGCTTCTACCTAGCAATTAACGATACTATTGACCCAATATGCGTTGTTATTTATGTGCGTCCCATATATATTCCTCACTTCATCAGAAAAGAATACAATTCTAACACAATATCATTTTAAATATCTCAAGTTTAACCAATTATTTTCTTAAAAAAAAGTTTGACCAATTATATATATATATATATAATATATATATATATATAAAGAGTATAAAATAGTTATTATATTTAATAAGTATCATTAGATTTTCTATGCTGAAGAAAGGAGAGGGATTCGGCTAACTTTAGAGATAGCATTGTGGTCTGTTTTTCTATGACTCTTCTGCTTGCTTGTGCAGCATTTACAGACTTCTCTATACTATCAGGTTGGAGACCAATTCTGTTCTCTTATCTCCTGATGCAAGATGAATCATATTTAGTTCTTCATTTTTGCATGCTCAGTGTTTGTCCTACTGAATCTAATTTTGTCGGGTTTTACTTTATTTCTTACAGTCCGGTGTGTAAGCACTGATGTTTCTTGCATCCTGCTCCATAAAAGGTATGATGCTCCCTCATAATAGTCCTCTTATATAATGATGCTACAGTAAAGCTTGCTTATTTTATGAACAATGGGAGGTCAGGCTGTCACTATCTACAAAAGACTATAGTGCACAAAGCTACTCATTAATGCATTGTAGGAAATAATAGGGCTGGTCTGATTATCGTTGCCTGTGTTTCATTGTTAACATCTTCTTGCAAATATCCAGAAACATATGCTCTTGAACAAACTCCCTTGGTTCAAAAAATTGCCACCAAACACCATGGATCAGATTTCGTTTTGGTCGAGGAGCCAAATGCTATAGCGGAATTATGAAAGGTCAGCAGAGCATTTAATCTGAAGATTCTATTGATTCCCCACTTTGGTTCTATATATATGATCTTGCGCGTACGTGAATGTTGCAGATATAGTAAATTAGCCTCCATCGTGCATTGGAATGGATCTATATTATTGAAATATATTTGTAACAATACTCAGCCCTTTAAATCCAGATCAGGAAGGAGGCACTTTGGGCTGCTTTTGCTATGAAGCTATGCTAACGGTTTGTTTACCACTTGATCAATATCTGATACACATCCTCTGAAACTTTTGGTACCCTGTTCTTACTAAACCTAAGCACAGCTCTTTTCACAGGAAGAAACAAAATCTCACAAGCATTGAAGATGACAACCATGCTTGGAGCCATGCAGTTAGAGCACGCTGTCATCACAAAGTCCTCAGACTACGTCAGGCATGACATCTTCCCAGAGACTACTCAAGAGGCAACAAAGATGAATTCCAAGTTACCATCAAACTGCAGGCGTTGCTAAACACATGTGACCCTCCTTTTGTCATGAACCCAACAAGGACCACCCAGTCAGCATATGTAGTAATATCTCCATCACTTCCCAAACTTAAAAACTTACGTGATATATACATCCTATTCGTCGCACTTTAAGTTCAAAATTTTCACTGACTGTATGCACGCGATGGCGCGCGCCTTTCACTAGTTGTTTTATGAGGACTGAGGACAGGATGCGACGCGGAGCAGCCGAGCTGGTGTGGACTCGGCACACGATGGTTGACGGGCTCTACACGTAACACGCCCGCGTCCAGCAGCCCTCCACCCAGCAGAACATAAAAATGTTGACCACTAAAAAAATATCCAAAATTTTGCAACAAGTGATAAAACACCTAAAAAGCACATGAATTCTTTCTTAGGGTGTTGCACACACGGTTACAAATTTGGGTGACAGTCAGGCTAGCACCCATTAGATTTGATCCAAAACTTTGGATGTGAGGAAGGTAAAACGCTAACATGCAAAGTAAACGCCCCTTATGCTATCATTTGACTCTACAAAAGTTCTCTGGCAACCTGCAGGCTGTCGAGGAACTGGAACCTCCTCTCGATACGTTACCATCGAGTATGATCCTATCAAGTTTCTCCTGAAAACAATTAATTACACTTGAAGTTTGGCATTGTTTCATATACATAACCACTGTCCTTAATCATGTCCATGATAATACAACATGCGAAATAGAAGACAAGTAAACCGATACTGAGCTAAGCTCACCAGACTGAAATTTCTACATATTACATGTTCTATACAAAAACATGGTTGATCGGTGATCACCATGCATCACGCCTTCTAGCTGTTCGCCTGTGCCACAAGACAGCAGCCTCAAGTTTTCCATGTACCGTGCATCAAAAGATTAAACTATATACAGGGTAGTCCTTTGTTTTCCTAACATATTGCAACTCAGAAACATCTGAGAATACATATAAAATTTGGTACTCATTCCACAATAGTAGCTTATGAGTTGTAATTATCTGGTAAAAAAGGCCAAACAAACGGCAATAAAAATGAACATATCACTACCCTTTGTCTACATTAAGCGAGCAAACCAGTGGAAACCATTTCATCTTCCAAGTAAAGCCAAGTAGCTGCCAGAAGATTCAGTATGCTCATGGTTCATTCTTCTAGTTCTGCTGGTGAAGACAATCAAGCTTCGGGTTGCATGAGAAGCCGCATTAATTTGCAAGGAACTTTACTAGAAACCCCTCAGGAACTCAAACTGGATTGCTTGCCAAAGAAAGCTCATGTATTTCTGTAAGCATCCACTCTTCTCCAGTTTGTCCACCAAGCACTATCGCTTTTGTTCCTCCAACAACACAGGTGCTGTGGCCCCAGGCGAACCGGGGAGGGCGCCCAGGAACATTCAGTATTCTCCAGGTCGGCTTTTCTTCAGTTGGATCCAACAGATAAAGCTGTGATGCCGAGTGAAGACCTGCCACTGAGCCACCAAATATCAAAATTCTTCCACCTGGCAGGCTGACAGCAACATGATCCAGGCGAGGAGGTGGACCTGCACCAGCTGGATTACCAGCCCCAGGCATTCCACTACCAGTGAGGCATCGCCAGCAAGGCTCTTCTTCACTTAAGTCCATTGTGTACACATCACTAGACCGGAGCCGCAGAGGGCCGCTCTTAGCAAGACCACCAAACATCAGGATCTTCCTGCCACCATACACAGACATTGAGTGCCCCAGCCTAGAAGGCGGTTTCCAGGATGCAGGAACTTCTCTCCAAACTGGTCTATCCATGGTTACATCAAGAAGATATGTGTCACTGAGGAGTACACCTGAATCAGCACAGCCACCAGAAACTACCAACTTCGTTCCATCCAAAGTGCAGGAGCTGTGCCATGAACGCGGAACTGGGGGTGCAACTCCAGGTATTTCACGCCAGGTTGGTTGTTTTGCATCCAAATCCAACATGAATACATCGTTAAGCAGACCCTGCCTTCCACATCCACCAAAAACAACCAACCAAGAGCCATTTAAGCATGACAGAGTATGGCCCCAGCGACCTGGAGGAGCTGCGCTCACATTGATATGCCTCCACTCTGGATTGCTAGCATTCAAATCCAATACAAACGTGTCATTCATCGGTTGCATGTTAACACCTTCCCCACCAAAGAGAACAACACGGTTCCCCACAGCACAGGCACTGAAATTGCATCGAGATGGCTCCACTGCACCCCCAACTGTCAATTTCCTCCAGGCAACAGCTTCCAGGGTTGTCAGTTCTCTTGCCAGCCGACCCCAGCCCAGCCATCTTGCGGCAGGCACTGTCTCAAGAGCTCGAGTAGTCTCACTACCCCAAGCATTCTGGCAAACCATTCTCCAGAGATCTTCATTTCTTGTCAAATGATACAAGCGCCTGCACACAGAGCTCACAGACGCTATATCTCTTGGTGACAACCTTGACAGTATACTTTGGCAAAGCACTTCATCTGTTAATTGGAAGAGGCTAGAATATTCCCGGCAAAAATTGCTGTGCTCTGGCCCCGTAGAAATGGGTCGAAATGAGTTATCTGGAGCAAACCGTGTTGACCTCACTGGTTCCTTTGTCATTGAACAGGGCAATGGTCCCAAATCAACATTAGCATCAGTGAAGAACTGAATGCCCATATAATGGGTTATGGTTTCATCATCTCCATATATAGGGGTCAGATGCAACCTGTTCATCAATGGAGTTCCATCTTTTCTGAAATTTAGTAAATCGCCACGGAATTCAATGCCGTTGTCTATGCATCTTCGAATCTCTGACACCACTGCAGCATCAACTAGGGGGTGCCTCCTTCGAGCAAATGGTCCTCTGCACTGAAGGAATCGGCTGAAAGAGAGAAGAAATATCACAGTAAATAAAGCAATAAATAAATTGCATAGGTTATATTGTATTATTGTGGCATAATTTAGGAAAATTATGAAACAATCGAAGATGAGAGATGCATGCAGACAGGAGCTGCCAACCACAAAAATCCGAGTACCATACATCATAAGCACTGCCAATAGAATTAAGGTTGTCTTAGCCCATGACAATACCTAAATCCTTGCATGTTTTAACATGAACAATGGTGTTTGGCAGCCAAACACAACAAATGCGAAAAACATACTTAAATACACAGGGTAAGAATGTTGATATGGAGCCAAAACAAGGTAACCAACTAAGCTACACCACAGGACGCTAAACATCTACTCCCTCCGGTTCTCTAAAGCAAGTCGTTTTGAGGTTGTCTTAAGTCAAATATTTTAAACTTTGACTACAAATAACTTCTTTTGGGTTGAGTTTGAAAATATGAAAGTGATGTAAGTAGATTCATCTCGAAATGTAGTTTCATAAAAGTATATATTGACTATATTTTATAGCAAAAAGTTGCAGTCAAAGTCGTTTCTTAAAGACCGTGTCGATGTCCAAAACGACTTGCTTTAGAGAACCGGAGGGAGTACTTGCATAGGGTGTAACATATAAATCCTGGAACTTGAAAATTGCCCAGGTCCCGACAAATATGTCAGTCCAAATATCTTCGAACACTAAAAATTTGCTACTAGACATAAAGTGGCATGTTCGGCTCTCTCTAAATTCCTATTTGTCAATACAACGGCATTATATCAGATGGATAAGTATTGTATCTATTTGGATACGAACGGAATTTTAAATATCTTAGATATCTTTGAACTATACAACAACAACAACAACAACATAGCCTTTCTGTCCCAAGTAAGTTGGGGTAGGCTAGAGTTTAAACCCACCAAGAGCCCCAAGTCATGGTTCAGGCTCTTCAATAGCTGCTTTCCAAGTACTCCTATTCAAACATAGATCTCTAGGTATATCCCAAGCTTTCAAATATCTTTTTATTGCCTCCCCCCATGTCAATTTCGGTCTTCCTCTACCTATCCTCATATTATTAGCTTGGCTTAGGACTCCACAATGCCCTGGTGCCTCTGGAGGTCTCCTTTGGACATGGCCAAACCACCTCAACCGATGTTGGACAAGCTTTTCTTCAATTGGCGCTACCTCTAGGCGATCACGTATATCGATGTTGGACAAGCTTTTCTTCAATTGGCGCTACCTCTAGGCGATCACGTATATCATCGTTCCAAACTCAGTCCATTCTTGTGTGACCGCAAATCCATCGCAACATACGCATTTCGGCAACACTCAGTTGTTGAACATGTCGAATCTTTGTAGGCCAACATTCTGCTCCATACAACATAGCCGGTCTAATCGCCGTTCTATAGAACTTGCCTTTTAGCTTTTGTGGTACCCTCTTGTCACAGAGAATGCCAGAAGCTTGTCGCCACTTGATCCACCCTGCTTTGATTCTATGGCTAACGTCCGCATCAATATCTCCATCCTTCTATAGCATCGATCTCAGATACCGAAAGGTATCCTTCTTAGGCACTACTTGACCTTCCAAACTCACATCTCCCTCCTCCTGTACAACTCCACCAAAGTCGCATCTCATGTATTCGATTTTAGTTCTGCTCAATCTAAAACCTTTAGACTCAAGGGTCTGCCGCCATAACTCTAATTTCCTATTTACTCCCGCCTGGCTTTCATCCACTAACACTACATCATCAGCGAACAACATACACCAAGGGATATCCCCTTGTATGTTCCTGGTAACCTCATCCATTACCAAAGCAAAGAGATACAAGCTTAAGACTGACCCTTGATGAAGTCCAATTTTAATCGGGAAGTAATCTGTGTTACCATCGTTTGTTCGAACACTAGTCACAACATTGTTGTACATGTCCTTGATGAGAGTCAAGTACTTTGATAGGACTTTATGTTTGTCTAAAGACCACCACATAATATTTCTTGGTATCTTGTCAATGAAAACCAAGTGGAGGTCCTTCTGCTGCTCTCTAAACCGCTCCATAACCTATCTTATTAAGAAGTTTGCTTCTGTGGTTGACCTTAAGGGCATGAAACCAAATTGGTTTGTTGATATCTGCGTCGTTCCTCGCAGGCGCTGCTCGATGACTCTCTCCCATAACTTCATAGTGTGGCTCATCAACTTAATTCCCCGATAATTAGTACAACTTTAGATATCTCCCTTGTTCTTGTAGATTGGTACCAATATGCTTCTTCTCCACTCCTCAGGCATCTTGTTCGATCAAAAGATATTGTTGAACATCTTGGTTAGCCATACTATAGCTATATCCCCGAGATATCTGCACACCTTGATTGGGATAACATTAGGGCCCATCGCTTTGCCCCCTTTCATCATTTTCAAGGCTTCTCTGACCTCCGATTCTTGAATCCTCCGCACAAAGCGCCTGTTGGTGTCATCAAACGAGTCGTCCAGCTGGACGGTGGTGTTCTCGTTCTCACCATTGAACAATTTATCAAAATACTCTTGACATCTATGTCTGATCTCATCCTCCTTCACCAAGAGCTGCTCCCTCTCATCCTTTATACACTTGACTTGGTTGAAGTTCGTTGTCTCCTTATCGCGAGCCCTAGCCATCCTATAAATGTTCTTCTCTCCTTCCTTCGTACTCAAACGTCGGTAAAGGTCCTCATAGGCCCACCCCTTTGCCTCACTCACCGCTCGTTTTGCAGTCTTCTTTGCCACCTTGTACTTATCTATGTTGTTTGCACACCTGTCATGATACAAGTGCTTATAGAACTCCTTTTCCTTAATAGCCTTTTGCACATCTTCATTCCACCACCAAGTGTCTTTCGAGTCGCATCCGCTCCCTTTGGTCACTCCAAGCACCTCTGAAGCAACCTTCCGAACGCATGTTGCCATCTTCTCCCACATGTTGTTTGCATCGCCTTCATCATTCCAAGGGCCCTCTTCAATGACCTTTTCCTTAAAGACCTTTGATGCACCCCCTTCTAATTTCCACCACTTCGTTCTAGCAACCCTAGCTTGTTTGTTCCCACGAGCTTGCACCAGAAAGCGGAAGTCAGCCACCACCAGCTTGTGTTGAGCGACCACACATTCTCCAGGTATCACCTTACACTCCACGCATGTTCGTTTATCCCTCCTTGTAAGGACAAAGTCGATTTGACTAGAGTACTGACCGCTACTAAATGTCACTAAATGGGACTCTCTTACGGAAGAAAGTGTTAGCTATCATCAGATCAAAAGCTATGGCGAAGTCTAAGACTTCCTCTCCCTCCTGGTTCCTACTACCATATCCGAAACCCCCATGAACCGCCATATATCTTTGAACTATAATCCAACATAAAGAACACCAAAGTGCACTTGGATTACTAGTTACTGATATGAATCATGTATCTGCAAGTCTTACTCAAATACAAGGTTTTAAAAGAATTGATGTGCAATCATCAAGAAGCAAAATCAAGTTTAGGACCCAATGTGCATTCACGGTATTTTCCAATCTTCACTTTTATCTACTACTTTTAGCAGAATTACAGATTCCCAGTTAATCATTTCCTTACACTACTCTATGTTCCCTGTTTCGAGTTACAGCTTGTTGGTGCTATTTTCGTCTAGGCTAATTATCTTGGAAATCCCTCTAAATCACATGTACCTACCATAGAGCAGCTACCATAGTTTTCAGAGTACAGATGAAAATCGCATCAGACCTCTTGAGTATCAACCATTATCAAGTATTAACTGTTCAATCATCAATTACTAAATTATTCCAGCAAACTGGACAGGTAAAAGACTGACTAAACATAAACCCTCGACTAATCAGGTCCATCATTTTCTTTCCCTAGAAATCAATCTATTGATTCACATCTGAAGTGCTAACTTACCTTAGATATTTCTCTCTCCAAACAATATTGAAGGACATGACCTCAAAACATCAATATCATGCCAGTTAAAGCCAAGCGTACAATTTTCTTTGTAATCAGTAGTATGTTATCATGCCAAACAATCCTAGAATGAAATCATTATAATTGAGAAGTATCAAAGGTAACCCACATACTGGAAGAGAGATGATTAAGTAATTCTAATCTAGAATAAATAGACTTGATTCTAATCTAGAGTAAAAAGAATCAGAACGTGATTCTAATAAATTTTCAATTAGGCAAACCCTGCAGTCTGCACAATCAGATGCCTGATTCTAAGCAGCAGCAATCCTTGCACCTAAAAACAAAAGGATGCCACTCCATTTTGCTGAAGGGAAGAGTATTCCAACAGCTAAACTGAGCACCTCCTAGTCTAAGCTCGCTTCTAATACTCAAAATCACAACAACAGATGCTTAAAACCTATTAGCTAACAAAGAACCATCGACTCTACGTGGCAGAGATGAGCCATTGGAACCAAATGAAAGTGTGTAACGAATTGAAAGGAAAGCATATTATGGGATAAAATAGCAGCAACCAGTTCATGCCGAACACCTCCTCGGCGTGGTAACCCGTGGCCTCCTCGAAGCCGTGGTTGATGTAGATGATGGGCCAGTCGGGCTCGAGCGCATCAATGACGACCACCCCGCACGGCCTAGATGAGCACAGCATGCCTTCAATGCAGAGATGGAGGGTTCACGCTTGGCTGGAATCTCAGGGAGTGCTTCGGACACTGAGGAGTGGATGGGACAAGGGTACAGTGGCCGTCAACCGTAAGAATCCGGTCCGCTACACCATTGGGTGATGGCCATGACCATGAGGGTACATGGACTGGCTGAGATGCGATTAAGTTGGCCTGGTTGCTTGCTTCCTGTAGTATTCACTCGTGCATCGTACATACCAGCTGAGCTACCCAGAGAGCTGTGGTTTGTTCGCGCAGATTTTATACCAGCTAAATAAACAAAAACAGTAGAGGGGAAGCCCAAAGTAGCAAAAGGATGTCACTACTTTCCATTTCACTGAAACTGCAAGTCTTGTTACAGAAAAACCAAACACCTGTCATTCTAACCGAAATTCCAATACTCAAATTGCCAAAACAGTAACCCATGACGAAACAGAAAAAAGGTAATAGTACGCTTTCGCTGAAATGGATGCCATTTGCACTTAATAATAGCAAACTGATGCCACTTGCTATTTCACTGAAAGGAAGAGCATTCCAGTCTAAGGTCACTCCTAGTACACACAGCGATAGCGGGAAAGGCTTTTCTAGCAGCTAATATAACAGAAAAATCAAGCACCTATCATGCTAACCGCATTTCTAATACTCAAAATCGCCAAAACAGGAAACCATGACGTCAAGACAGAACAAAGAAAAAGTACTACTACGTTTTTGCTGAAATTGATGCCACTTGCACCTAATAATAGCAAATGGATGCCACTTGCTATTTCACTGAAAGGGGGAGCATAATAACAGCTAAATAAAGAACCCTCCAGTCTACTCACTTCTAATACACAAACAGCGCTAGCGGGAAAGGCTTTTCTAGCAGCTAATGTAACAGAAAAACCAAACAACTACCATTCTAACCTCATTTCTAATACACAAAATCACCAAAACAGGAACCCATGACGAAACAGGAAAAAAAAAGCACTACTATGTTTTTGCTGAAATGGATATCACTCCACCCAATCATAGCAAATGAAAGACACTTACTATTTTGCTGAAAGGAAGAGCATTATAACAGCTAAATTAAGAACCTTCCAGTCTAAGCTCGCTTCTAATAGACAATCAGCGCTAGCAGGAAAGGCTTTTCTAGTAGCTAATGAACACAAGTAGTAGAGAGGAATCCCAAAGTACCAAAATGATGCCACTATTTCCAGTTCACTCTGTGTGTGTGTTCTAATAGCAAAGCCGAATAACATCTAATAATATTTAAAATTATGAAAACAGAAACCCATGACAACAAACAGATAAGCAATACTACATATTAGCTCGATTCTATGTGGCAGCAATCCTTGCACCTAGAAGTAGCAACAGGATGTCACTTGCTATTTTGCTGAAAGGAAGAGTATTCCAACACCTAAACTGAGCACCTTCACTCTAAGCTCACCTCTAATACTAAAGGATGCTTGTAACGTAGGTAACAAAAGAAATAACAGTAAGCTCTGCTCTAAGTGCCACAGACCCATCTTTGAAGCCAAACCAAATTGTTGTGAAACAAATCGAGGAAAGCACATGAGATAAGGTAGCACCGACCAGTCCTGCTACATACCTACTATTGTAACCGCATTTCTAATACTCAATCACCAACACAGAAACCATGACAAAACAAACAAAAAGTAATACTACGTTTTGCTTCCTTGCATCTAACAATAGCAAGAGGAGGCCAACCCTTGCACCTAACAATAGCAAGAAGATGGCACTTGCTATTTCACAGAAAGGAAGCGTATTCTAATAGCTAAAATGAGCACCTCCCAGTCTAAGCTCTCTTACTCAAATTCATGACAACAATCGATGCTTACAACGTATAGCTAAGTAAAGACCTAACAGTAACAGTAAGTTTTGCTCGATTCTAAGTGGCACAGATTAATCCTTCCAACCAAATGAAACTGGTGTGTGACCAGTTGAAAGGGGAGACTAGTCTAACAGCAAAAATGAGGACCTACCAGCCTAAGCTCGTTTCTAAGAAACAAAATCATGACCGCAGATGCTTATACAACGTATATATAGCTAACAAAAGAACTAACAGTAGGTTCTGTATGATTCTAAGTGGCACAGAGCAATCCTTGCAACCAAAATGAAACTAGTTGCGTGACGAATTGAAATGAAAGGATATGGGATAAGGTAGCACCGACCAGTTCCTGCCGAGGACCTCCTCGGCGCGGTAGCCCGTGGCTTCCTCGAAGCCGCGGTTGACGTAGATGATGGGGCAGTCGGGCTCGAGCGCGTCGGTGACGACGAGCCCGCACGGCCCGGACGCGCGCAGCATGCCTTCAATCGCGAACGTGAACATCCCACCAGCTCCCCCGGCGTCGCCACCTCCACCCTCGCCTCCCCGCTCCTCCCCCTCCTCCTCCTGCTCCTCCTCGCCGGCGCCGACGCTGCCGGCGCCGTCGGACTCGCTGTCCCACTCCATGGCGGTGCCGCCGAGGACGGCGGAACCCTAGCTCCGGATCCGGGCTCCCCACCGCGACGCGGTCAGCCCATGGATGCCACGCGCGCGAGGCGTGGCGCGGGTGGCCTAGGGTTTGGTTGGCCTGGCCTAGCTCTGGAGTCTGGATTGGGTTTTGGGCGGAGGCCGAAGGGCGGAAGCAGCCGCGAGCGGAATGGACGGCTTGGAATCGGGAGAAAATTGAATATTTGACACCTAATCTAGAGGCATGTGAATATTTGACATCCAATTCATGTATAGTTGAAAATTTAACACTCTGACTGCGAATTCATCGAAAACAGGTGTTTTCTCTTCCTTTTCTTCATTTAACATTTTTTTTCTTTTTTCTTTTACTTTCCAAGGCAACGTATCTTGGCTTTATCTATCCATTTCTTCTAAGAAACGAACGCATCTCTCTCCCGTGCTCATTTTTCTTCGGCTCTGTTCGTCACGCCGCTGCCGCTCTTCTTTGTTCTTCACGCGCCGCCATTGGTGCGGAAGAAGCACCGCCATTGGGCTGTGTGTGAGGCAGGTGCTGGGCCGGTCAGCGGTGCTAAAGGCAATGGCCATGCGTCTGTGGACGGTCGCCGGTCTTTGGCCGCCGACGCTAGCCAAAGACGCTGCGATCTTGGCTCCTTATTGATGGAGGCCGTCGTGGCAGCGAGGCGCCGCAATGATGGAAAGCAACAAGCGAAGTTAAGGTACTTTGGTCTCCTTGGAAAGCAAAAGAAAAAAGAAAAAAAATGTTAAATGGAGAAAAGAGGAGAAAACATCTGTTTTCAACGAATTCGTAGCTAGAGTGTCAAATTTTCAACGACACGCGAATTAGATGTCAAATGTTCACGGGCGTCCAGATTGAGTGTCAAATATTCAATTTTCTCGGAATTGGGAGGAAGCCTCGCTGTCTCGGCGGGGACGCAACAGGCAAGTGGGGCGCAACGAGTGGACCGGACAACAAGGGCACCCGTGCACCCGAAGCGTCCGGTCCGGGGGATCTGAACAGTTGGATCGTGACCGTGGGGTACGTCGACGGCTGCGATAGGATCAAGCTGGTCGGGTTGCTTGCTCATGCTGCCCGTAGTTTTCGCTCGTGCGTGCGTCTGTCTGCTGACGCTGCCCGTAGTATTCGCTCGTACTTGTACTTTTTTTTTTGAAACATGTCATACTTATTTTCTTCCCAAACATTATTAAGGTAGATGCAAAAACTAACCACTGTTGCAGGCGAGACGAAGAATGGTAAGCGTGAATTTTTACAGTGAAGTGTGATATCACCAATGCTTATTGTGTTTATTATGGGTGCCATGTTGCTTAAATGATTTTTTCGAAGATTCATGGTTTTTCTGCTTTTATTTGTACTGTATTTGCCAAGCTTTTCCGTTGATAGTTACACTCCTAATACCGTGTGAACTCTATCCAAAATTGGTTAAAGCTGGGATAACTAGAAGAGGACTGGAACGATCTGCTGGGAGGTGAGGTACAGCTTATAGCGTTCCTGCCACCTGCCCTGCAATCCCAATCGTGCTTCCCATAAAAAAAAAATCCCCACCGTGCTTTCCCTGTGGGCCTGTCGCATACGACCTGGACTGGTCCCCGGTGGTGCGCGTGCGCGGTAAAACTTAGTCGGGCCTGTTCATGTGGAAAAGATCGTTGTATTTTGGCCCAGCTGGCCCAATTAATAATTTTACAAAAAATGGCAGGTGGAGTTTTACAAAGACGACCCTTCATTGACGCCGGCGCCGGCGACGAGGCGCTCCAGGCCTACAACCCTCCAGTCCGCCATGCCTCACGCCGCCACCACCGCCGCCACGGCGCTCCCCCGCACCGCTCTGCTCACTATCTCCGCGCCGCTCCGTGACTCGCTCGCCGCGGCGCCGTACGAGCCCCCCGCGGGCTCATCCGCCTCCGTCAAGTCCCTCCTTGCCTCCCTCCTCCCTTCGCCTTCCCCTCCCCCGCCCCCGCCCCAGGCCCAGGCGCCGGCGGGAAAGGAGGCCGGGGACCTCCTCCTCTTCTGCGCCGCCGTCCTCGCGGCCTCTCTGGAGTACCCCGCCCTGCACTGGGTCCCGGCGGGCCTCGCGGGCGCGGCCGCCGCCGCGGTGAAGGAGATGGCGGCGGCGGGAGGTTGGGGCAGCGTCGGGGAGATGGTGGTGGCCGTGGCGCTGGAGGTGGTGCCTCCTCTCAAGGCCGTGGTGAAGGACTCGTGCGTTGACGCTGACAGCGACGAGATTGGCGCTGTGAAGCCGCCCAAGGAGCACGCTGCGGTCGCCGCGCACCAGTTTCGGTGGCTGGTGTCTCAGGTTTGTGCTCCGTGATGGGTACTGTGGCATTGTTCTTGCCAATCGTTTGGTTATGACTTTTATAGAAGTTCAAAAGAAGCTGATGTTAGGAGAATTTGGTACTGCTCTTCGGATAAAATGTTACTGCTATGAGAACATTTTGCACTGGAAACTTGTAGTACTAGGCTACTAGCATAAGCAGCAGCAGAGCTGTATCAGTAAGTGAAGCAGTAGTGATATGGCTGCATAGAGATGTTTACTTCAGTTTCTATTTTTGTATTTCAGGTAAGTTACCCTAAGCTTAGGGATTTGTGTTGGTTAGTCATTCCATGTGCCCTGACAACCTTGGATCATTGGTCGCCAGAAGTTAAGGTACAGTGCTGTTTTGGTTTCTCTACTGGGGATAACAGTAGTATAGACTGTATGTTAGTGCCAACTTTGTCTCAGTAGCATTCATTTAAATTTTGATTTGGCCTTGTTGATGGACATTGTTCCATATAATTGACAGGAACAAGGAATGGTTAGTTTTGTACACATAGCGAAGAATGTGAAAGTGACGGAATTAAGTTTGTACGAAGACGCCATACTTGACGCGTGCTGCCAGAACATTCCTGTGGATGATCAGTCATGGTACCAGGTTATTGAGGTATCTGTGCTGTTGCTGACATGCACTCAGCGGAGCAATCCCCGTAGTCCTTGGTAAAGTTTCTATCTAATTTAAATCATATTTTCCTTTTATAGATAGTTGTGATCAAGTCTGTTCTTCCTAGCTTACAGATTCCAAATAGGTAAACCTATTCTGCTGTGAGATTATACTGGGCTGTGGATATTCAGAATTTTATATGATAATATGTTATTTCTATCACACTTCAGTTTATGAACTGTGAACTATAGTATCCCTTTTAAATTTTGTACCAAAAAATTAGACGAAGATGACACAGGGAAAAATTATTGCCTTATATGTTTAAATGAGGCACAGCTAGCTTGTGAAAAACAAACATTTGCGAATTGAATGGTTTGGACCAAAAATTTCAACATATTTAGGGAGATATAGCATTTGTTGCAGTTATATTGAGATACAGAATCATTGCTGAACAACCTATAGGTAAAACGTTAGTGGTTACTGTGGAGAACACAGCCTATAATTAAGTGATTGAGTTGACTATTGGCTGATATTTTGCATTCTATATGACTTTCATATGCTTGCATTGCAAATTTTGCTCGACTCTAGTATGAACATCCACAAAATATGTTTATATTTCTTGAACTCCCTCGTCTTTCTTTTATTCAACTTCATTTTTTAAATTGGTTACAGGTATGATCGAATGCTTAGTGAGATGTTGGGCCACCTGGAACGGCAGCCACTAAATAAAGAGCGCCGTGTTGCGTGGCTGACCCTTATTGGGCCAGTTTTCGATGCTATGGGCCTCTTCCTATTGGCACATTTTCGCCGCCTTTTATCACTCTTTTTCCAATGGATGCACACTGATGATGATAAAACAGTTCTTCTGGTAAGGAAAATGTTCGAATTCTTAATTAGCATCAAAAGAAAGTACTATAATACATCTTCACATTTTTGTTCCTATCAGATAATGTCACCAATTTATGGATATGGAATTTGTTAACCTAATTGATTATGGATTTTTTCTATGAATTTGATCCATGAATATTTTTTCAGACTTTAAAGCAAATCCATGCCATTATCAAGCTTACCTGGATCAGGAAGTCACCTTATACTTTAAGGTATTAGAAGATGTGATATATGTCTTCTTACTTATCAAATTCTGCTTGCTGTGCTCCCTATATTATAGCATCAAGTATTCCTGATCCAAAGTCAGAATTATTCTTTTGAAGTTTGGAATAATGCATTATTAACTAACTAGTGATTTCAAATCCATTTCTTTTGTGTATAGACTGGTGGACGAGCTTGTTCTATTATATAAAGAATCAGCGACAAGGAGCAACCGTGAAGTCATGCGAGGTCATATCCTGGAGATACTTGTACTGCTTCAGAAGTAAGTAACTCTCCTTTAGTAACAGTTCTTGTGCATGCATAGTGGCACAGTAAGAGCTACTTTAGTGGCAATCAGACTTGCTCTATTAAAATCCATTTTGTTCAGAGTAGTTCATTAAAACAGAAACAGTGCACTCTGTCTTGCTGGCTGCTGTTCTATTTCCCAGGTGCCACTACCTTGCATATTGCCTACCTCAACTTGCTTGGGACTAAAAGGCTATGTTGTTGTTGTTGTTGTTGTTGTTGTTACCTTCTGATGTATCCAACTCAGCAGTTGGGATTATTACAATGGAACTTAGCATAGAGGTTACATTATTTCATTTATGGGATGGGTCTGATTATGTATTTATTCTCGTTATCTTCTCATCCTTTTGTGCTAAACATCCCCTTTTCCCCTGAGGGATGAGGGTACAGTGTACTGTGCAAACATGGCGAAGTTCTTTTTTCTTCTTAATGAGGACGTAACCTATTGCCTTTGGTATTGGTTGTGCCACATGAACTAGGAAAAGGTTGCTGTATCAACTTCCATTTTTGCCCTGTATATCCCTGTTTCTTATAGTATAGTAATAGGTTTACTGATGCAGCTGCAAGGGACAACAATTTGAGGAAGCTTGGAAGAAGCATGAACTAGACCCAGACTTGACGATGCTGCTGTCCACTTTCAATGAACTTTGTATAAAGAATAGTTCACCATGATGTTGAGTTTAACTAGGTGTTATCAAATCAGTGTAAATATTTCACCATCGCCTATTCTGCCATCAAATATTTCACCATCGCATCAAATATTCTGCCATCTTTTTAAAATATTCACAACAAATCCCATTAAAACAGGAATTCTGAACGAAACCCTTGATTCTTGTGGCAAATCCCATCCCATTAAAAAAAAATTCTAAGTACATGTAGGGGCAGCAGGACAAGGTATGAACAACCCATGCCTTGTTGACAGTTTCTTCCTCTGCATCCATTCTGCTACACACGTTTGTATTCTGTGTTCATCATGGATTTTGTGCAGCTGACTGCACCAGCTGGATGCTGGAGGACCGCAACGTGTATTTTGCTCACAGCTTGATGATAGCATTACTTTAAGAGTACAGAGCTCATAGCATATAGTAATATACTACCGATACAGCTGACTGACGCTCCCAGATCCTAGCACTACCAAGACAGCTAGCTGAACCAATCGGAGTCTTATTTGTAGCCGGAGTTTCGAGTGTATTTCTACCTAAATTCTATATATGGTGATGATGCGAGTCTACGTCTGGCCGTATTTCTCCGGGAAGCTCAGTATCTGCGGCTGCAGGTACTTGCCGTGGTAGATGAGCCTGGACATGACCCCGTACGCCGCCTGCGTCATGTGTATCCCGTCCCAGCTCAGGTACGTGGACGGCTCCGCGCACGCCGCCGCCCCGTCGAAGCCGCACATCCGCCGCCAGTCGAAGTTGTACTCGCCGCCGCCGCCGCCGCAGCAGGCCTTGCGCGTGCTCGCCGCGTCGAAACCTGTGAAGAAGAAACAGACAGAGAATGCTTGCGCGTCAAAATGCACTGCACGACTCGCGTTATGCATGTCGCCATGTTGCCATGTGTGTAGGATGAAAACGGTTGGAAAACCTTTCTACTGCTACATTTAAATATGAAAACGAAAACAAAAACGAAAGCGGTAAAGCTGGACATGAAAACAAACACGAACTTACGGAATATCAAAAATTTCGAAAACGAACTAATTCGAGCGGAATTATGTCGATCACGGTCGGTATACGAAAAATCAATACGGAATATTGACCCGTAGGACCAAGTGCATAACAATTAATAAGTACATAATTATTAACAAGTCCTACAACTTTCATAAAAAGTATCTCCATTCGACACGACGTGACGAAGTTATGATTTTTTTAAGGCAGCAAGGGCTTTTACGCGATTAATATATCGCTGACTTTGTTTATTTTTTTGAACATCTTTAAGACATCAAATGAAAAAACTAAGAACTAAAAAGTTGTAGATCTCGTCGAGAGCTATAATTTTCATATAAAAATCATCTTCATCCGAGATCGTATGAAAAAGATATAATTTTTCTAAGGCTAGACTTATAGTGGGCCAAATTTGGTTTAAACCGAATTTCGAAACCGAATTTCGAATTCGAAATATTCCGAATTAAAAGTAGAAAAGTAGAAAACGGTCGAAAAAATATATAAATCGTTTTCGTTCCGATTTCGAATTTGGTATTCCGAATTTCGAACCGAATTCGAATTTGTCGGAAAATACGAATTCGATCGGATTAAATATAGAAAACGATGCGGTTCGGTACGGGATATTTCCGTACTGTTTTCATGCTTACATGTGTGTGACCGTGTGTGCGTACCGAGCGTGGAGGCGTTGTGGAGGAGGGTGAGGAAGGAGCCGAAGTAGTCGGCGTAGGCGACGGCGGCGTGCGGGTACGACGCCTGCAGGTCGGCGACGGCGCGCCGGAGCCGCGAGTTGTGCTTGGCGGCGAAGTCGTTCAGCTCCCGGAGGCACCCCACCGAGTCGTAGTCGGCGGGCTCCGACTTGGCGGCGTTCATGGCCAGGTACCCCGGCACGCAGCCGATGGGGAAGTTGCCCGGGACGATGACTCGGCTGGCGCCCATGTCCAGCACCTCCTTGGCGGCGTCGATGATGGTCTTTACAACCCCCGGGATGAGCTTCTCCACCTCGGCCACCGGCTTGTCCTGAGAGAAGGCGTAGTTGTAGTCGTTTCCACCGATCTCCCCGACCAAAACCAGAGACTTCTGAAGTCGTCTGCGTATCTCTGCGTGCATGCAGTCACACAATGCAAAGAATTTGAGCCTTGCAGTGCATCGATCCATGGAGGGAGCTGAGGACGGTTGATCGAGGAGGAACGAAGTGGTTGCCTTGATCGATGCCGAAGGTGTACTTGAGGAAGTCCTTGAACCACCGGAGCTGCACCTTGAGCGAGTTGGAGGCGACCGGCACGGGGACGGTGAGGTTGTACTGGTCGGCCGGGTCCACGGCGGTGGCTCCGGCGACGGCGAAGTTGACGCCGTGGTCGAAGCTCTTGTTCTTGCCCAGGTACGGGTTCAGGAACGGGAGACCCAGGTCCTGGGCTGCATCCATGCCATGCATTGCGCATATATAGACGCAGATCACGAAAGCAGATCGATCAGATCAATGCATTGTGCTTATGCATGTCACGAACTCACGATCACGACTGTGTATACGTATGTACTAAGCTTAGCCTCTGTAGAGTGACGTCACATATACATACCCAGGAAGTCGATCATGAGGAGGCCGTCAGAGTACCGCCCAGTCGGGTACCCGAACGTGACGCCGTAAGGGAGGTGCATGATGGTCTCAAACATGCCCGGAGGCGCCTCCATGACGAGGTTCCCCGTGTCAGTGATGGAGTCGCCGAGGCTGTAGATGGCAGTGATGCCATGGCCGGCATCGGCACCCTGCCCATGGCGGCAGCACAAGTGCAGAGCGGCGAGGGAGACCGCCAGAAGGAGAGCTGAAGCAGAGGAAGCCATGGCCATAGATGATTACTCGGAAAGAGATGGCGCTCGAGCTCGAGTGAAGACTGACGAGGAGTTACATGGCGGCCACGAGGGCCTTCTTATAAAGCATGTTTGGGTGGATGGGCGAGAAGAGGAGGCAGGAGATCCAGGATCGGCCACAGCATGCTCTAGAACGCGAAAGCATGGATGGGTGGATCGGATGGCGATTTCGCCGTCCAGAAGGCTCGGTCGGGCGCGCGTGCAGATGGAGATGGCTTTTCGTCGAGGGGCCATGCTTTTGTCACCTTGTGAGCGAAAAGAATGCGCCATAAGATCGGATCGAGTCCGAGATTACGGCGGGCTCTCTTCTTTTGACTGACAACGGTTAGTCGGTTAGTTCCTTTTCACCAGTTTTAACCGTCGGTGAATCAAGCAGAGGAGGAATAGGACATGCAGAAGCAACAAACACGCCTGATTCTATGATCTACTAAACTGTCTATACATTTATTATTACAATAAATAAAAAGAGAAAGGCATATACAGTTGAGTGTTACATGATACTAGCAAAATGTGTGTTCATACGTTGCAACAGGTTGTTATTCGCTTCTAAAAAGTGACATCCTCTCCTAAGAGGTCATTTGTCATAGGTCTTTGGTGCTCTAGCTCCGACTACTGAGTCACTGTAGTTAGCACTGTATCACGGAGCCACTTTTTTTCTCTCTTTCCTATATCAATGTGAAGTTGGGGGACAAGCTACGATTTTGTGACTCCTTCGATATTGCAGCACGGAGCTCTGGAGCTGAAGGAGCCCTTCTAAAGAGAGCCTAAGTGTCCCGTTCATTTCGCTGAAAAAACAAGTGAAAACACTATTCCGGTTGATTTGTTGTAAGAGAAAAACATTGTTCCGACTGAAAAAACAAGCTAAAAAATACGAATTATAAAAACAAGCGAGCAGGGTCATTATCATCAACTTGCATAGCTCTCTTGCCCCGACCCCACCAGTTGGTACGTTTGACGGCGAGAGCTGACAACTCCAAACATGTAGAGACGTATATTGCTCAGTTGTGCACCTTCGTCCTAGTAGTTAAGCATGGTTGGGTCTCGGCCAAATTTACCACAACGCCTAGATGTTAGCTGACCTCCATGCCCACGTGATGCCTCTCGGCTGGTAGACCTACACTGAAGTTGTCTTCTTGGTCGCACTGAGGGAGCTGAGCTCGCCATGCTAGATGGGTGCACTAGGATTTACATGTCTATCAAATCTGTCATGGAGGGCATCGTAGATGTTAGACATGACTGCTCGACGATTTGTAACTAGACTGGTCTGAACATGGAAGGTTCAGAGATTTATCTAAATATATTTCTCGGCAGGTTCGAAAAAAAGGCCATGTCTCATGTACAGCCTGTTCGGTTGGATTTATACGATCGTAAACAATCGTAAATTTTCAGCCGGAACAGTATTTTTCTTCACATCAAACCAGCCAACAGTACTTCTTCACGATCCAACAACGAACAAGCCCAGCCAAACGAACAGGCCGGTAGACGATAGTATCACCCGCTTATATACCAAGTCTAGAGTTCGTCCACTAAATGCAGGACTATTCCTATGATTGCCGAATTTCCTTAGCTGTTGCTATTAGTATAATATTGCTAACATATCCGCAAAAATATATTTAAAAGTGTTGGTGTAAGAAGACCACCCTTTCCGAAGCCATTTTGTTCGAAAGTAGTGGCCAATATTATTATTCCCTTTAACTCCCACACATCCCTTTTGTAGCAAAAGTCCTCGATTCAACACCAATACTGAAATTCCATTCATTTGCAAATAATGGTGTACAAGGACGATTTCACTTTATATTATGGTTTCCCAAAATCCAATTCGGGAATGACACCATTATTTGATTTTTTTTCATTTCAGAATTTTATTTAGTCGAGGCACCAGTTAAGTTAACAATGACAATCTTATACTCGTAGAAAACTAACCCCCACTAGAGATTTCTCTCAACAAACAAGCTATCCACATCAACAATCCGCTAGAACTTACAATTATAGCCAACTAGCACATATAATTATGATAGTTATCTCTTCATCCTACTAACATGCATTTAGCTATCCTCATCGATATGTCAAACTATTCACCAAAATTAATTTAAGATAGTTTCATTTATATAACTATAAATATAAATAGTCTAATTTCTTTATAAATTATTTAGAATCCCCACAGCAACGCACGGGTTATTCTCCTAGTTATATTATACTAGTCCATCACGCGCGCCCTTACGAGCCTAGTATATTAAGACGATTATCATATACAGATGTAGAATTTTTGTTGGCAAAAATTTGTTTCTCTTTATGGAACATACACACGTACAAAAACTACAGAGGCGGCAAAAGAAAACTGCTTTGATAAGAGTAGATATCATAGAATGAAAGAGTGATAGGTGAACAGACCCTGTCTCATATGATAGTAGAGGGTATACGTAGTTTCCTACATGGATGAATCAGGTTGTGAGGTTGTCTTCACATAGGTACAGGTACGGTAACCTAAGCACCAAATCTACAACCTAAATTTTAGAACAGTGTCTTGGCACCTCAAGGCCACACAAAAGCATTATAAGGTAACATTGGTGATTAAGAACTTCCACACTATTAAAAACCTGACAGCCGTAACATACCTAAAATCATTTCAATGTTACGAAGCTGAGTTAAAACCCTCATGGCATACTGAAACCTGTAGAAAATGTGCACATAAATTGGAGCATCAGTTTAGGAACTAAGAAAATAAATCTGTCAAAGATTTTTAGAATAGGAAGATAGGAGGAAGCAAGGACAACATAAACATAGCTGCGGCAAGAGGTATATTTACTGTGAATAAATGAAATTGATGCTATATCTATACATCACACTCACTGGGCTCAGCAACAGTCACATGAATAAGGACATGAACCATTTTATTTTATTTTATTTTGTGATAGAAGCGTGAAACAAAGTGGCATGATTAATAAATGTTCGCCAAGAATCCTATAAACTGAGTAGAAATCTAGAGTGAACATTACAGATAAAATCTCAGACTTGGACAAATAAAAGAATGTGTGCAATATTCTCCGTATTCTCTGTTGGATAAATTTCAGTTAGACCACTGGACCATTGTTTATAAAAATTTAGCAATCCTATGCCAAGCTCAAGATGGCATAGTAATCACCTGATATTTCGAATTCGGAGGAATCACCCTTGGCAGAAAATTCTTTGTTTTAGCTCCTAGCTCACAAAATCCAAACAAAAGCAAATAGGTGATATTAGCACTTACCTAATCTCTCTAGAATGAAAGAAGGGTAACTCTTAATTCAAGCTGGTTGTAATCCTCGTCGCCATTTTTTTGTTGTTGCATTGCTCGCCATCCACGTGTACAAATTATTTGTTCTCAAACACAAAGCACCTACATTGGCAAACTAGTAAGGCAATTTCGGAAATAGTGAGCACTGGAAATAAAATTGTAGTCCAGGATTGCAAGCTGCCATGGTAGCAGTCTAAGTAGGAAACAAATTCAAGCTGATTGTAATCCACATAAGCTGTTTTTTGTGACCTACATCGGCAAACCAGCGAGTCATGTAAAAACTAATCCTGTAACCTATTATTCAAGCAATAACAAGAGCACCATTCCTCTTATTCTCATATATTATATACCTTAGTTGCTGTAAATGTCTGCAAAAATTCTCCCATTCCATTGACTACTTACTGAAAGTAGAACACTGCCACAATAACATAAACCACCTAACAAGCTCACGATTTAGTAGAACATTTTCAATAAATATACTCTACATATAAAACATGAACTAATTAACTAAATCGGACATAAAACGGGGAAACCCAAAATCGAGGGGCCCCCCAACAAATCATTGGGGAGAGCTAGCCCACGTCACTCCAGCACGAGCATTACGCCAAAATCAGAAAGGCAGATGTAGCTATGGGAAAAAAAGAAAAAAAAGATGTAGAGAGAACGAATGGAACTAGAGGATGGGGGGAATAGAAGGGGAGGAGAGGAGGAGGCGACGACGCACCGCGCTGCCGGCGCCTGGGAAGGCGGGGAGGTGTGCCGATGCAGGAGCATCCGTCACAAGACACCTATTCGGGACCATCCGCAAGACATCGCTTCTTCAAGGCCGCCCCGCAATGTCGCCGGGGCACGCGCGGGGGGGGGGGCATCCACGCCATCCGACCGGTGCAGCGCCCATGCCGCCGCCACGCCGCCGAGAGAAAGACGCCACGCATAGCCGGACCCTCGAGATTGTGTACCTAGGGTTTCCACGAGCACAGGCACCTAGGGGCCATGCGCGCGCGGGGCATGGAGGGCGGCAGCGTTCGGCCCCAACCAGCAAGGCCGAGGAGGAGAGAGGGGAGGCGCAGGCGCGGGCAGGACGCGAGCGGCGGCGGCACGCTACGGGAGGAGCGGACGAGGACGAGGACGAGGACGAGACGAGGCAGAGGCACGGCGTTTTTTTTTCTGCGGGAAGGATCACGATGGAGAATCGGAAGCCCGCGTATATATTTGGTGGGCCGGCTCCGAAAGAGAAGTCGGATAGTAGCGAGAGAAACAGAGAGGAAGCCGGTGGAAGGCAAGAAGGAGCGGCGGAAGCTGCTTCCAGCTAAAGCTGCTCCGAGCTTTCTGGGCCACAGGATGGAAGATCCAACGGATGAGAGAAATGGAGGCGACATGGACAGCCTGGTTGGAGGTCAAACCAAACTGCCTTAGTATATTAGAATGCCAAAGGATGGACTTTGACAATGTTACCACAAAAGATTAACACATATAACTTACTAATTGTAAATGACGGACATATCCAAACTCTTTGCACGCGACTTAGGGACATAAAAGTAAGACATTATGTTGTAAATTATAGATTTCCCTTTACTTGTATTCAAAAAAATACAATTCTAGTTTTATCATAAGTCGTACACAGCCAATTTATATTAGAAAAAGGCTACCAAATTTTAGGACCAAATAAATATTATTAAATCTATCATGAAATATATTATCATAGTATATCTACTTGGTTGTTACTCTTCTCTACAAATTGGTTAAACTTAATAATAGCTTGAATAATTAAAAAATAGGATTGTATTGATTTTTTATGATACAATACGTGCTAGAATAATGTGTCACACACCACACTGTCACTCGAGGAGTGGAATAACCACCACCCAATGGTACGACATCACGACAAATGACCACGACCACGAGCATCATCTGGTTGTCATTGCTTGCTAGGGTCGGCGTGTCGACTTGGCCTCTCGTTATTAACACGATATATATGTGAACGAAGGGTACTAACCTTTATATAAAAACCCAGCAATATATACTTTTTTTTCTTAATCAGTAGATTGTGACGCTAAAAAAGGTACTGTAATATGTATATATAGCCACGCTATTTGCACGAGTGATCTCGAATTCTCGATAGATGATCGTCTTGATACTTGGGTGCACATCTTGAGAGCATTGCTAGAAATGCAAGTTTGTATGCGCTACCGAGATGCTAGTGATGCACTTGTATGTAAGTTGTAACAGCACCGAAGAGAACCTGGACCTGAAATAATAATGCACCCCATTGGACGCATTATTGCTGCCGATTTGCGGTAAAAAGACCAAACTTTAAGCAACGGAAACAACGGCCTCGCACGCGCGCGCACGCACGCTGCGATCGACCGTCCGTTCTCCGGGCTCCGGTGCGCTGCTTTTTTTGCTCCCAACTTTTCCACCGGCCGATATTGATAGGGCGGTGCGTGGATGCGATAGGGCTGTGCGCGGATTTGCTCACCACTCGGGCCTCGGGGATCGAGTCGAGTGCGCGCGATCGGAGTGGCCGAATCTTTGCCGTTTTTCCGTGTTGGGTGGAGGCAGCCACGCCTGGTTTTATTTGGGTGGCGCACCTTATTATACAGGGAGAATTATGAAGAATTATCTATTTGGTATTAGTCTTTTATATTTGGTATTAAAATTTTTGGACTTTCTTATCTGACATTAAGTTGAAATTTTCTTCCGTAAATAGCACTACCGTATATTTTCACCTGTAACGATGTTAAGTGGCTTGTAAAATGACGTAAGTACCCTTATTTGTAGTAGGCGTTTGGAGCACGCACACACGCTGCTGCTACTTCTGCACGCATGCTGCTGCTGCTGCACAAGGCTGCTTGCTGCGTTCATCATGACCTTGGACTCGTCGAAGCTGAGCACGCCGTCGCCGTCGAAGTAGTAGGCTAGCGCACTCTTGCTGCTGACGGTCGACTCCGGTGAGGAGACGTCGCTGGTGGGCAAGTTGCTACTCCACACGGGGTGGTGTCGCCGTCATCGTCATTGCAGGCACTGCCTAGTTCTCTGCCAAGGCCGCTTGCTAGCTTCCTGCGATCTCCACCATGTGCACCGTAGCTCCTTTCGTCCTTCCCAGCCTCGCGCGGCGCAGACATGATGAAGAGGACGACGATGGCCACGACGCACGCGGAGGTCGCTCCTGCCACGGTGCGCTGGTGCGACTATGGCGTGGACGACGACGCCGACATCGACGCGTTGCTTCGGGACATACACGCCGCCGTGCGCCCTCGCGCCCCCGCTGCCGCGGACCTGCTGATGCCGCCTCAGGAGTTTCTTGCGCGGTCTCGGCGACACAACTATCACTACAACTACGAGGACAGCGACTTTCAGGCCGTTCTCCACGGTATTCGGAGCGTTCGGATCCCAGCCGCCGGCTTTGCTTCGATGCCGGTGGATGCTTCTGACGGCTCCCCAAGGACACCAGCAGCAGCGGTGGTGCTTGCAGCGCCGCTCAGCTACGGCGACGATGCCACCGAGGCCGATGTGGTCACCATCAAGATGTCGCCCAAGATGAAGCAGCCACCGCAGTACGACTACGACGCCGACATCGACGCCATGTTCCGGACCATGGAGATAGAGGCCATGGAACGTCCCTCGCCAGACTACCTCAGCCATCGACAGGGAGGGGAGATGATGATGATGGACCGCGCCGATCTCATCGACAAGATGCATCGCTTCTCCACACACTACGACCTCGCCCCGAGAGCGTTCCACCGCGCAGTCTCCTTCGTCGACTGGTTCCTGTCGGCCAAGAAGATCAACCGCGACGAGCGCCAGATTTGCCTCCTCGGCGCCGCAGCCATCTTCGCGGTGGCCAAGTACGAGGACAGGAACACCGTGCTGAAGATCAACTCCGACCACGTCGCCATGTACGCTGGTGCACCCGAAGCGAGGCTGTCGACCAGGAGCGCCAGCTGGTTGCCGTGCTCGGCTACCGCCTGAGCGGACCCACGGCCTACACGTTCGTCGAGCACTTCATGAGGCACAGCCAGGAGGAGGAGGTGGTCAGGCCCTGGCGCATCACCTGGCCGACATGGCGTTGCTGGACTACAGGTGTGTGGCGTTCCTGCCATCCGCCGTGGCCGCGTCGGCGATCTTGCTGGCGAGGACGTCCCTGTACTATTCGACGGCGGTGCCGGTGGATGCAGGCTATACGCTCGAGGAGCTCAGCGACTGCATACAGCCGTCGAGGGGAAAGAGGGACTGGACGAGGGCACGCACGCACTCTGCTGCTACTTGACGTGTGCTGGTGGCGTCGGATGTGCTGGTGGCGTCGGCGGCCGCGGACGGCGACGGGCTCCTTGACGCTGCGGAGTTCGCGCGGCTCGTGACGCGCCTGCACGTGGAGGCCGGCGGGCTCTACTACTAGAGCGCCAAGCTCGCCGGCAAGGACAGGACCTCGCCCAGCGGCCGTTCCTTGGATCTGGCGCCGCCAGCTGCGGCTTCTCCGCACGCCCCGGGCTCGCCGCCGGCAGCGGATATGGCTCGGCTCCCACTCCCCCGCCGAGGCCGCCGCGCGCGCCTACGACGCCGCGCTGCTCTGCCTCAAGGAATCGGCGGCCGCAGTGGATCTCAACTTCCGCTCCGCCCCGTTCGACACGCCTCAGTAGCCATGTCGCCCAAGGCCATCCCGGTAGCGTGGCGCGCATGGTCGCGCTTTTGCACAAGACTGTTGTGGCACCGGCGACCTGCGCTTAGAAGAATAATGGCGATTGCTGCGGCGACGATGACGGCGACACCACCCGGCGTGGAGTAGCAACTCGCCCCAAATGACGTCTCCTCCCCGAGTCGACCGTCAAGAACGAGAGTGAGCTGGCCTACTACTTCGACGGCGACGACGGCGTGCTCAGCTTCGACGAGTCCAAGGTCATAATGAACGCAGCAAGCGGCCTTGTGCAGCAGCAGCAGCATGCATGCATCAAACGTCTACTACAAATAAGGGCACTTACGTCATTTTGCAAGCCACTTAACATCGTTACAGGTGAAAATAGACGGTAGTGTTATTTACGAAAGAAAATTTTAAAATGATGCTAGATAAGAAAGTTCAAAATTTTTAGTGCAAAATATGAAAGACTGGTTTGTTTCAGTGTCAAATAGATAATTCTCTCTATTATATATCAAAGTTCCTTTGCAATTGATTGAAGCTAGTGGCCGTGCGCCTTCGTTGCGCTGCTTGCTTGGCCGGGGTCGGTCGGTCGGTCACCAAGTGTGATAGATCGATCTGCATGTAAAGCAGACGCAGATCGTGTGATGACCAGGGGAAGGGAAGGTATCGTATCGCTCGAGGATATACGTGTGTGCCTGTGTGTCGTTCGGTTTGCGGCCTCCAGTGCTCGCGAGGCATCCGCATCCGCATCCGGGTAGGAGGCGACGTGAATGAAGAGAAAACGAACCAGGAGTTTCGGAATCAGTAGCCTTGGAAAAGAGATGGATCCATCATGCGGTTGCAGCGTCGTGAAGGTGAACTCCTGGAGATGGAGCCCAGCAGGCCCAAACCCAATCTGCGCGCGATCGACTCCGTGGGCATGCAAACGATGGGCCTGGCCCACGCTGCACCGCTCCCGCCCGCCCGAAACGGCCGATGGCCCCGACGTCCACACAGCCCAGAAGAGGATTTTGCATCCCTAAGCCCGCCGGCCCCCGCGAACGACAAACCGCCCGTTTCGAAACCAACCAACCTGCCGCGCCCGCGACGCTCGTCCGCCTCCGTCTCCATGGCGCCGCACCTCGCCTCACGCCCGCCGCGCGGTGGCGCGGCGCGCCCGTGACGCCGCTGGGCCGCCGGCATGGTTCACCTCGCCCCGCGCCACGACCACCCGCCCGCGCGGCTCCCCGCTCCACAACCGCGCCCGCCGCCGTCGCTGGCCTCGCTGCTGCTCGCCGCGGTCGCGTCCTCGCCGTCCCTCCCGCACCTCCGCCACCTACACGGCCTCCTCGTCCGCCTCCACCTCCCTCCACCCTCCACCCCGTTCCTCCTCTCCCGCCTGCTCCGCCGCCTCGCCGCGCTCCCGCTCCCGCTCCCGCTCCCACCCACGCCCACGCCGCTCCGCTACGCGGTCGCCGTCTTCTCCTCGCTCTCGCCGCCGGACCCGTTCCTTGCCGCGGCGCTGCTCCGCTTCGCGCACCTCACGCAGCCGCCGCTGGAGACCTTCCGCGTCTTCTCCGGCCTCCGCGGCGCTGCTCCGCTTCGCGCACCTCACGCAACCGCCGCTGGAGACCTTCCGCGTCTTCTCCGGCCTCCGCCGCGCGCACGGCCGCGACCTCCCGTTCGCCTTCTCCCCGCTCGCCAAGTCCGCCGCGGCCGCACGCTCGCTGCCCGCCGCGGCTGGCGCGCACGCGGTGTCGCTCCTTCTCGGAGGCTTCGATAAGCACCGGTTTGTTGAGAACTCGTTGATCGGCGCCTATGTCGCGTGTGGGGACGTTGGTGCCGCGCGTAAGGTGTTCGATGAAATGGTGGTGAAGGATGTCATTTCGTGGACGAGCATTGTGGCGGCGTATTCTAGAAGCCGTGATATGGGTTCGGCTGAGGAGGTGTTTGCGCTCTGCCCGGTTAAGGATATGGTGGCGTGGACGGCGATGGTGACGGGGTATGCGCAGAATGCCATGCCAGTGAAGGCGCTCGAGGCGTTTGAGCAGATGGCGGGGGCCGGGATGCCCATTGATGAAGTTTCACTCACCGGTGCTATCTCAGCCTGTGCTCAGCTCGGTGCGGTGAGGCGAGCCGCCTGGGTTCAGGAAATTGCAGAACGGAGTGGTCTTGGGAGGAGTGTGGTTGTCGGGTCGGGGTTGGTGGACATGTATGCCAAGTGCGGTCTCATTGACGAGGCGCGCAGGGTTTTTGAAGGGGTGCAAGAGAAGAACGTGTATACCTATAGCTCAATGATTGTTGGCCTAGCATCGCACGGGAGGGCCAATGATGCAATTGCTTTGTTCAAGGACATGGTTAGGAGGGCAGATGTGGAACCCAACCATGTTACCTTCATTGGAGTATTGACAGCCTGCAGCCATGCGGGGATGGTAAAAGAAGGGCGCTACTACTTTGCGCAGATGAAGGACAGGTATGGGATATTGCCTTCCGCAGACCACTACGCTTGTATGGTTGATTTGCTTGGTCGGGCTGGATTGGTGATTGAAGCCCTTGACCTTGTGAAATCAATGACCGTGGAGCCTCATGGTGGTGTCTGGGGGGCACTTTTAGGGGCTTGCCGAATCCATGGAAATACTGAAGTCGCTAAGGTTGCAGCTGAACATCTTTTTAAGCTTGAGCCAGAGGGCATAGGGAACTACGTGTTGTTATCAAATACACTTGCATCAGCAGGAGAATGGGATGAGGTCTTGAAGGTTAGGAAACTGATGAGAATTCGGGGGCTGAAAAAGGATCCTGCAGTGAGCTGGTTTGAAGGCCGTGATGGTTGTGTGCATCAGTTCTTTGCTGGTGATAACACGCACCCATGGATGCATGAAATAAAGAAAACATTATTGGAGCTACGGGCAAAACTGAAGCTTGCAGGTTATGTGCCAATCCTTAGTTCAGTTGTTTATAATGTAAGCGAGGAAGAGAAAGAAAGGTTGTTAATGGGTCATAGTGAGAAGCTTGCTATGTCATTTGGGTTGCTCACACTTGAGTCTAGATCCCCAATTAGGATAGTAAAGAATCTAAGGATATGTGACGACTGCCATTTGTTTATCAGATTGGTGTCAAAAGTTGAGCACATCGAGATTATAGTCAGGGACAATATGAGATTTCATCACTTCAGAGATGGAGAATGCTCATGCGGCGGATTCTGGTGAATGCAGGATATGTATTATTTTATTGAGAAAAAAATAAACATGGGAGAATAAACCTCCATCAATTAATAGTACCGTGTCCAACTTATTTATCTGACATGTTTTTGAATATAGGAAGGTCAACTCTGAACAGCAGGGCAAAGCTTGGAAAGACGCTTATGAATTCAAAAAAAATAAAATAAATAATGGCAATCTTTGTTTGCAATGAAGAGCTATGCAGGGCAGATCTAGTTGGCAATGCATGGGTAATGAGGAAGTGGGTGTTTGATTGTAAAAATGGACATGTTGATTTTGAAAAATGATACTTAAAAGCATGGAGTTCACACAATACAAATGCAAATAGTAAAGCATCAATCATGGCGGGTCATTCAAAACTACTAAGTATATTATTGAATGTAACTATAGTATTATTATTGCTGTAGGAGAACTGAAAGGGAATTTTCTTTTGGTTCTTTCAAATTCAATACTTACCTAATGTTTTTTATCGCTTTGTTCTGAAACTCAAAATTATGCACAAGACAAGCAAGAACTGAATTGTCACCAATCTTTTGCTTGGCATTACATTAGTGCAGTCCTACTGTCCTAGCCATAGCAAGTATTGGTACCTGTGAGAGACTACATTTTTGGCGTACAGATCATTAGTGACTAAAGAATTCTGATCTAAATCTGATGGAAGCATTTATGGGCCTTGTTTTTTTGGCCGAGGTGCCATGGGAGTTAGAAGTGCATTTTTCTTCAGATCTGTATTTCCACAAATCCACATGCCATTTTTAATGGAGGCTTCAGCTTTCTCAGCATATGAAACTGTGCTGTATTTTGCTTCTCGTGCCATCAAACTAAATGATCAGATGTTTACTAGCTTGCTCTCATCGATGCTGACCAGAAGGGTTTCTTTCCCTGCTTCCTGAGAATAGCCAGTGCGGTCTTTTTGGTGAATGTGAACTGGGGCCAATGCTTAGTTTGAGGTCAAGATCACTCTCTACAGAGGCATTCCAACTTTCATCTTCAGCTGATTTATGGTTCTCCCTGTGAAATCTTTCTTTGACTGTTGAGTTTTCTTCACTAAAGAGGCTGAGGCAATTTACTGGCTTGCATTCATGAAGACTCAAATCTTCAGTTACTTGCTGGGGAGTTGAGTGTTGGGCATTACCAAGGTGAGCAGATTGATTTGTCCCTGAGGTAGGACTACTCTTGAGATTCGACCTTGATCCCTGCACCATTTCATGAGTTTCTTCTGTTCTCGGTTGATAACTATGATTATCGCATTCAGCCATCAATGCTTTTTGTACATGATACAAACGATGCAGCTCATGCACCTGATGCAAAGAAGCAGTATCAGATGCAAAAGTTCTTGTTGCATGAATGACAAGACAACTTAGGTCTGACTAACAACTGGTTGTCAACTTATCACTAGAAAGATGAAGGTTTAATGCAGCATAAGCAGTAGTATGCACTACAATATATTACAAAACTGGAGGAGTATGTTAACTTCTCGTCTATGTGTGCAAAAATACATCAGCAAATTCAAAAGGCTCAGGAGTCAAGACCTATTAGGGTGCCTGATCTCCTTGCTTTCTTATGTTCTATATATTTGGTGAATCCTTGTGATTTGGATAACTGGAGTACAAGGCTACATACTACATACCTGCTGTCTGAAGACCTTATCATGCTCCATGATTGTTCTCCGAATTGAGTCCTTGCTGTCTTGTATGCAGTGCTCGTCCATTGGCTCTTCCAAGGTGCATAAAAGCTTTTGCTCACCAGCTTTCAGCAATAATTTGGTTATTTTCTGGATATTATCTCTACCTTTTTTATATCCCGCGATGATTATTCCCTTTATCTCCAACAGGGTGGAGAGGATTCTGTGAATATGAAGCAAATCAATAGCCATGCCTGAAACAGTCAGTTTGAAAGATCAGTACCTTGTGTAGTACGCATCAGTTAGAGCCGGAGAGATTTGCCATAAAAATTATAACTGTAGCTTGAGTCAATTGCACTATGCTTACAAGTGAATATGGATACTGAGCTAACAGCCTAACACTGAACCAAGAATCAAACAAAGAGAAACTGAAGATTTACTCACCTGTATCCCTGATTCTCATGGTCCAGCTGCTTATGTCGCATTTTTCCTCTTCTTTGGTTACAGATCATAGCCAGTGGCAATCTCCATATGTTAGCAGGGACACAGAATGGGAGGTGACTTGCTCAACTCTATCCTCAGCACCCATTACTCATTTCAGAGCCTAACTGCGGGAGAGTTCACTTTGTGGGGGTAGCTTCCACGCTCTCTCTCTCCTTGTGCTTATGAAGCAAACAGCATCCTTTTGTACTAGAAACAAGAGATGCCAACCAAAAGTGAAGAAAAGCTAGTAATGCAATGGCTGACAGGCTGTGTGAAGCTGAAGGGTAAGCAGGATATAAGGGCGGCAGTAGTGCAAAAGGATGAGAAGCTGGAGATCGTTAGTTAGCAGGAGGTATGCTGCGTCGCTATTTGTTTATCGAACTCGAGGAAAGATCAGGGAAGTGCAGGCAGCAGCCAATTGGAGAGCCAAATCTGGTTGGTTTAATGAAACAACAAGCCAACCTAAAAACATGTGAAGCAGATATGCCACGCAGGTTTTGCCGGGATTAAAGATATCAGGATTTTTGGACTTGGGCAACCTCTCTCTCTCCATCTGATAGATAAGCTAGGCCATACATATCTTCACATGCTTGTAGTTTGCCGTAGAGATCTGAAGATACCAGGGGCCCACAGCCATGAGTTATCCTAGGCTGTCCATCCTCGTTACAATCCCAACTCTGGGATCTGCCCACAGCCTCAGAAAAGTAAATTGCCGTTTAAGCTTCCATGTGCGTTGCAAATCCCTTACTTTGTGTGTGTGCGTGTTTTTTTAACCTGGACAGGTTGCTCTACTGCCGCCTCTGCATGTTCCGTCACTGTCCCTGGCTTCCCAGTATTCTTGGACGGCTGGATCTCAAAACCAAGATCTTGTTAATTCGTTCATCCCACCGACACAGGTGTTAGCTAATCTACTGCCACCTTATGTGAACACAGCAGATGAAGGCGGTGTCGACTTAGCTGTCCTGCTGTGTGTGAACACAGCAAGGGAAGGCGGCGCCGACTTTGCCCCCTCATGTGTGATACAAGAGTCGTTGTGCAAGGTGCAAAGGCCGCATGGCTCACCTGCTGACCTTTGTAAAGAACAGGCGAACAAAGCGCAGTCGACCGCACAGAGGGTTATCAAATATCTAGTTATCGCAGCAAGATGGGTTTGCACATGGACTAGATAGTTAGAGTTGTATAAATAGACATGTATGGCAACTCAAGAAAGAGAATCGATTTGCCATCACACGACGGGGCCTCGGCCAACGTTGTTGTCTTGTATTGTGCGTGCTTGCTCTGTTCTCCTTCTTCTTCTAGCTTGATCCGTAGTGTGTGGGTACGGACAACGCCGCAGATGTGTGGTCCGCACGGCTAGTGTGTGCTCGGCAATACTAGCGTGCGTGCTCGGCGAGACCGTCAAGTGCTCCACACTCGCCGAGCCGGTGTGCTCGACAAGATCGGGTGGAGTGGTTCACCGTCGTGAGCCGGTGATCCTATGAGACCAACGGAGTGGTGCGGGAGACTAGTGGTGCGGGGCTAGTGGTGCGGGAGACTAGTGAGTGCGAGCGAGGCGGTGGTGCAGGGGAGACTAGTGGTGCGGGAGGCTAAGCGTGGGCCAACAAGTGGTATCGAGCCGTCTAGCGCGCCCCTTGTCATTCTAACCAATGGCGAGGACAGACGGTTTGGAGTTGGGCGATGGCGATGGCAAGCAGCATCATAGCCATAGCTGCCCACCACTACCGGAGATAGTTGTCCCGACGGTGCGGGAGGTCGGTGGCACCACTTGGCCGACGCCGACTCGCACTAACTATATGGAGAGTGGTCGGTGACCATGAAGGTCAAGCTTCGAGCCAAGACGGCTCTGGAATGTCTTTGTTGACAAGGGCACCGACGTGGAAGAAGACGACATGTCGGCGTTGGAGGCTATCCTCGCTGCTGTCATGCGTGAGTATAGGGAACCGTTGGGGACGAAGAGCTCAGCTAAGGAGGCGTGGGAGGTCATTGCGGCGATCTTGGCGCCGGTTCCGACCGCGCAAGAAGGCAACGGCCCGCCCGGCTTCAAGCGAGAATATGCAAACCTCAAGTTCAAGGATGGTGAAAAGCGGTGGAGGACTTTCCCTCCGCTGCAGACGCTCATCGCAAAAGTGAAGAGCCCACGGCGTCACCATCGGACGAAGAGGAGGCGGTCTCCAAATTCCTCCACTCCGCTTCGGCAAAGTACATCCAGATCGCTCTCTCCATAGAGACAATCTTTGGACTTGTCCACCCTCACCATCGAGGATGTGGCAGCCGTCTGCGGGCGGTGGGCGGCGCTGCGAAGGCGGTGGACGAGCGCCTAGAGCAGGCGACGAGAACTTGAACGGCGACGCGGGAAACTCCTGGCGACGGAAGAGAGAGGGCTGCTCGGCGAAACTCCGGAAGGCAAGCCTCCTCCGGTCGCGGTGGCAGCGGCAAACATCATGGCGGGGCTTCTTCGGAGAAGAAGCAAATCGACTCAACGCCGCCGGTGTTGTGGGAAGATGGGCCATTGGGCACGGGAGTGCCCAAATCGCAAGAAGGAAAAGAAGGCTCAGGCTCACCTGGCGAAAGCCGATGATGAGGATGAGGCCACTATCCTTATGGCGACGTTCTGTGCACTGCACGACGTCGAGGCCATGGAGAGGGAAGAGGCGACGACGGTGGAAGGATCTAGCAAGGTCCTAAAGACCGTCAACCTCGACGAACCACGCGCCCAAGTCCATCTTGGGCATGTGGGCGTCGACCAGGAGCAGCGGTGGTATCTGGACTCTGGTGCCAGTAACCACATGACGGGCTCCAAGGACTCCTTCTCCGAGCTCGACGGTGATGTTACCGGTACGATGAAGTTTGGTGGCGGCTCAAGGGTGGCTATCCAAGGGCG